TCTCGCAAATGGTGGACATGTTGCCAGGAGGGAGCAGTCCTGGAAAAAGATCTCATGCTTGGTAAAGTGGATGGTCAGGGAAAAAAGAGAGGGTGACTCAACAGGATAGGTTGACCCAGTAACTGTAACAATGGGCTCAAACATCCCACTGATTCTGAGGATCGTGCAGGACTGGGCAGCATTTGGTTCTGTGCATAGAGTCTATGAGTCAGAACTGACTGATGACATCTAACAACTACAACAGATAAAAAATATGACAGTTAAGCTCCCTACGAGTTACTTCACCCCTTTTTTACCTTGTTCCTATTCCTATGTCTTATTCCTGTTAAACCCACTCAGACTTACACTTATTTGCTGTGCTCCTTTTTATCATAAAACATATGAAAAATCAAGTTATTTTTAATTAAACTAGAGATTAAGATAGTTGCCAAAATGTGAAACAGTGTCACTTTGTCCACTAATAATTCTTAACAAAATATGTTAATAGAATTGATTTATTATTGCTATTAATTTAGAAAAGAACTTTTTATTGTGAATTGGGTGAAAATTTACAGAGCAATTTCTATTCAGCAATTTAGACACATTTTGTTCCATCTCATTGATTGCTATCCCCTCAATGGAACATCACCTGTGCCACTTCCTCCCTGTGCGTCCTGTTTCCATTCCTGCATCTTTCTAACCTTTCAGAACTTTATCTTTGGGTAGATGCTGCCCTTTTAGCTGCAAAGAGTTGATTATCCTCAGATGTGCGTACCTCACTAGTGTTAGTGTTCCCATTACACTAACTGTTGTTTGGCTGCTAAATGAGCTATGGAGTGGTGTGAAGTGTTTCCATTTTAATTTGTAACATGGTGGTGATGTCAGAGTCCTGGTGTGGCACTGGGGGTTAATGCGTTGCACTGCCAAGTCAGTTTGAACCACAAGGTCGGCAGTTCAGGCTCACCAGCTGTTCCTTGGAAAACCCATACAGGGTCACTGTGGGTCAGAACTGACTTGACAGCACTTAGTTGATTCCGAATCATAGCGGTCCTGCATAGGATTTCCGAGGAGCGGCTGGTGGGTTTGAACTGTCAACCTTGTGGTTTGCAGTCCAGTGCTGATCCTAACAGGGTAAATACTGATAAATATATCCCACCTAAGCACAAGCTCTTTGGGGTCCTCAGTAATTTTCACGAGTGGGATCACTGCTGTCGAGTCAGTTCTAAGTGATAGCAACCCTGCAGGCCAGAGGATAGCTGTCCCCTCGGCTTTCCCAGGCTGTCATTCTGTGTGGAAGCATACCGCCACAGCTTTCTCCTTGAGAAAGTGACCTTGGAGTCCAGTGCATTATCCTGCAGCACCACACCAGAGCTGCACATGTGTCATTTATCTCAGGCTCTATCACAGAACAGTCACAATTGTGACTGTTTATAGACCGTGGGAGAGCTACATGGCCCTTCATCAGAGAGAAATTGTACATATTATAGCAATGGGAGAAGACATGTGCCTTTTGCAAAATTACCGACAGTCTCTCTGATCAGGAATTATGCTTGTTGTCTGTGTGATGTTTCATGTAGGGCATAGAAAGGGAGGTGCCCCTTACAGCCTCAGGGGAGGTGAGAAAGGGCTGACTGAAGATTATCATTACACAGACCCCGAGTGGAAATTGAATTATGGTTGAATGTCAAATACTCCTGCCCTTTCTGAAAGCCTCAGGAAGAGAAAAACAAAAAACCTAAACCTACAACCATCGAGTCAGTTCCAAGAAATCAAACAACGTATTGCATTAGGCAAATCTGCTGCACAAGTCCTTTTTAAAGTGTTGAAGAGCAAAGATGTCAGCTTGAGGACTAAAGTGTGCCTGACCCAAGCCATGGTATTTTCAGTAACCTCATATGCATGCAAAAGCTGAACAGTGAATAAGGAAGACCTTAGAAAAATTGATGCTTTGAATTATGGTGTTGGAGGAAAATATTTAAAGTGCCATGGGCTGCCAAAAGAACCAATAGATCTGTTTTGGAAGAAGTGCAGCTAGAGTGTTCCTTGGAGGCCAAGATGGCTAAACTTCGTCTCTCATACTTTGGATATATTGTCAGGAGGGACCAGTCGCTGGAGAAGGATATGATGTTTGGTAAGATGGAGGGTCAGAGAAAAGAGGAAGACCCCCAGCGAGATGAATTGGCAAACTGGCAGCATCAGTGGGCTCAAGCGTGGCAACAATTGTGAGCTTGGCCCAGGATTGGGCAGTGTTTTATTCTGTTGTGCATAGGGTCGCTCTGAGTTGGTACAAACTTTATGGCACTTAACAACAACAACAAATAGGTTTTATGAGGCTGTAAGCCTTTACCTGAGCCTTCTCATTCTCCTGCAGATCAGCTGATGGTTTTGAACTGCCGATCTTGTGGTTAGTGGTCTTGTGCTTATACTGCAGAGCTACAAACACTTAATTCCTTTAAAGCTGTTGCCCAGTTGCTGAGATTATGTCCTTGTAGTCTGAGAGAGCTGCTCTGAGGAGAAGGTGGGCAGAGCTGTGTGGGCCTTCAATGCCGCACCTTCAATACAGGGTTAAGCTCTGTGGTGGTTTTAACACATTGCTTTAAGCTGACATTGGAAAAGGGAGTAAGAGAACAATGAATGATCCTTTGATTTGTCTGACACCTTGCCTCATTGTGAGTAAAGAATCAAAGTACAGCTTGACCCAGAGGGTGGGGTCGGTTCTCTTTTCAGCAGTTCCCAAACTTCCCTCTCCCTTTTCCCGGGGTCAGCTCATCATCGCTTCCCTTTCAGCTGCTCAGAGCCCCAACCCAGCCTTCCTTTCGTAAGCTTTGATCCTCACAAATGGATAAGCAATACTGATTCTGTCCTCATCCCTGAAACAACGCAACTCAAACCGGTTCCTCTTTCTGACTTCCTGAGTGGAGTACAGTGTGTTTCCAGGCTGCTGCTAACATTTCCAGTGTGTGGTTTAGAAAACAGTGTTCCTGCTGGTTCCTGCCCCTCAAAGACTGAACTTTTGAGCCAAAAGTTAAGAGTCAGCAGAGCAAGAGGCTGGACTTGAGCCATTCTCGAACCCTAAGCCAGGCTTTTATTCAGGGCACAGAGTCCACGCCTGTACTTCCCTACCCACCAGCCTTTCTGTCCCCTCTATTTCAGGCACCCCTGCCACATTATTTTGCACCAAGATCAATTCAAATCTCTTGCAAAAGCAAATCAAACACAGTACTGTACCAAAAAGAATCCCAAACACTTTAGTCTGTCATTTGTGATCACGTGATTTCTTCCGTTGCCGGTCACTCTTCCTTGAAATTCTCTCCTGTTGTTTTACCACATTTCGTTGTAGGTTAATGGACTGCAAAGTTGGTTTAAACTGTGAGGTTGGTGAGAATCAAGCTCACCATTCACTCCTCGGAAACCCTATGACAGGGTCACAATGGGTTGGACCCAACTCAACAGCCCTTAACAGCAATAACAACAACCTACTCGTCTACTTGTTTATGTATTTCTTTTTGGTTGAGGTGGACACAGTATCTCAGTCATCTTGATATCCTCACAACCTAATCCAGGGCCTCACGTGTATGAGCCTCATACTGAGCATGTGTCGAATAGTCAGCTTTCCAGTATGTCTCGTGTGCACTTCCTCCCATGATGGGCACTGCCTCCTTATTACCACCTAGGGGGAGAGAGCAGAGAGGGCAGTGATGGCTCAGTAGTAGCATTCTCACCTTCCATGTGGGAGATCCAGTTTCGATTCCTGGCCATTGCTCTTCAATCACAGGCACTACTTGTCTGTCACTGGAGCCTTGCTGAGCAGGCTTCAGTGGAGCTTCCAGACTAAGACAAACTAGGAGGAAAGTCCTGGCGATGATCTGTTTCCAAAAAAAAAAAAAAATCAGCCAAGGAAAACACAAGGTGCAATCCTGCTGGACACGCGGTCTCAGTGAGTTAAGGGCTGGTCCCGCAGCAGCTGGCAGCACGTTATGATACTGTGGATCAGAACATGGGACTTTCAGAGTCATGCTGCTTCTGCTCTCTGTACAGCGTGGGGAAGTGCTACCACCTCTGTGGGCCTCGGTTTCTTGTTGTAAGTGGGGTTGATCATCCGACCTGTGCCAGAAGGTGACAGCAAGAATAAGATGTTCCTGTCTTGTAACGAGCAGGACGTGTGGCACACTGCTCTCCAGGGACAGCTGTTGTTGTCCCCTGGGCCACATCCACACAGAGGCCACCTCAGAGGGTGGCGGTCTGAGTCTTACCACACCAAGACCTGCTTGGTTATTGTTGCTTTTAAAACTAAGTCAGTCATTTTCAACAGAAGTAAATACTGCCTGGTTTAATGAAGTGGGATACGTTTAGCCGTTTGTTACTGAAGCTCTGCATTCCTGTTAGGTCATATGTATGATGTCTGGAAACCCTTTATGTGTTCTTCTCTGCAGATATGGTGCTGGTCCTGCCACAACGGATGTGCCCTTATGAAGATGTCAGCACTGCCCAAAGAGCAGGATGATAGCGTCTTACAAACCCAGAAAAGCTTCTTGGATGGGTCGGTTCTGGGTTGACATTGTGTTGTTAGTTAGCTCAGGTTCCCCTGTTTTCCAGGAAATAGGGACCAGTTCTCTGCAGTCTGTCCATTTCTGTTTACCTGCTCCTAGCTTTCATCGCTGGTGTGGCACTGTAGGATAAGCACTGGACCGCAAGGTCAGCAGTTCAAGCCTTCCAGCCGCTTTTTGGAAATCCTATACAGAGTCGCTGTGAGTCAGAACCTACTCGACAGCACTCAACCACAACACCAGCTTGTCTCGCTTAGTGCTGGGAAGATACAGCTCATAGTGGTCATCTTTAATTGCTTTGAAAAAGTCAGTCTAACGTATTCACTAAGAATGTCAGCTGTTTTTTTTTGTTGAAGTATTCAGAGATGAAATGGCATGATGTCTACAATGTTAGCAGTTTTGAAAACTAGGTCATGGAACATGTCGCTGTGGACTATTCTTCTCTGAGTGTTTGAAAATACCCCCACCTCCCCGCCCCAAATGTAGACGGATGAAATGTGAGTCAGGCGTCCCTCTGAGCTGTGTGCCATGCTGCCAACCATGGCGCTATCGCTTTATAGACGTCATGGTGATGAGCCGGTAGTTAAACTCTCTGGGCCTCCCTTTCTGCATCTGTTGCTAGGGAATAGCAGTACCCCCCTGGCTGCCTCAATGTTGAGGATGAAATGAGGGGACACCTACAGAGCTTTTAACACAGACCTTGGCACAGAGCTTTAGAAAAGTTAACCACTTTTAGATTATGTTTGCTTTTCTAACCTTTTGTTACTTTTTGATACCTAGAATTTACAAGACCATCCACAGGCCACCGTATGAAATTGTTAAAACGGAAGACTTGTCAAGCAACTTCCTATCGCTGCAGGAAATCCAGACGGCATACTCTAAATTTAAACAGCTGTTTCTGATAGGTGAGAAGAATGCTGAACAAAAACTTTCTGTCCTGTGGGGGAAGACATGCGGCGTGGATCAGGTGAACGTTGCTGCCATCTCCTGGGCTTTTCATGGTAGTGCACCGATACGTGCGGTCAGGAGGGTCTGGCAGCCGAGGGGCTGCGGCCTTTGCCGTGCCACCTCTCCAGCTGTCTCCAGGCTTTTGTCCCACTTCCCCTTTGGTGAAGCCTGGCACACAACACCACGCCTCCTCTCTCCTCTCCCTGGTACGCCGATTGCCCGGTGGTGAGCATTTTGGCTTCTCCCTTGTATTGGTTGACTTGTTCGTAGTGATTTATAAAGCCTCAGTGCTCACTTTGTTTTCTTGGTATAGAAAGATTTTTTTATAGAATATATGCAAGCGGACATCAGAAAGTTCATGGAAAAATGGAATTAAAGGATAATGGAATTTTCCACTAACTTTTGAAGCCCCCTCATACACACACACACACACACACATACATATAATTTGTAATATAAAAATTCAATTAATTCAATTAATCAGAAATGTACAAAGTAGGCAATGAGAGAAGCCCATCCTAACTGGCCCCCTTCCCTGTCCGGGCTGCCCACTATTCGCAATTAGAATTAGAATCCTATGTAATCCTGCTCAGTCACCTTTTGATTCTCCTCATCCTTGAGTGAGTCTGTAACCTGGCATAGGTACCTCTTCCTAACTTGAACTTTTTAGCGTAATTTGAAATTCCTTTCTTTCTTTACTCATCCAGCATTTATTGAATTTCCAAGCGTAGCAATGATTGTGAGGTTGGCACAGGACTAGGCAGTGTTTCATTCTGTTGTGCATAAGGTCACTATGAGTCGGAACTGACTCGACAGCACCTAACAACACGAACTTTCCGGGAGAAAGGTGACCAGGCCACCAAAAGCTCATGGCCTGCTGAGGAGCCAGAGAGGCACCTGTAACTATAACACCGGGGTGTGTGTTTAGGATAGATTTGTAAGAGGTAGATTTGGAGGGACAAGCAGTTCGTTTTACTAATTGACACAGGACTGTAATTCTCTACTTTTTAATCATCCCAGATTAACAGTTAATAATTTGCATTTCTAATTTCTAAACGTATTGGATGTCTGTAACATTTGAGAAGCTCTGTGCACTGTCCGTAGGGAGACCTGTGTAGTGGCGTTCAAGACACTTAACATTCGTGAATTTCAGTTCTGGTGAACAGCGGGTCTCACTCTTCCGCTTCCACAGCATTCATCCTGGTGCTTTTCCCATTGTTAGGAATAGCAGCCTGGATGTTGACTAGTTCTGCCTAGAGCGGGTTACTCTCTGTGTTGGATTACTGAGTAAGCCGTAGGGCATTTCTTACTTGAGCAACAAAGATCTGTTAGGCTACTGCATCCTTCTAGGGGCCCGCCATTCAAAAACCACTTTTTTAGCTGAAGTTTTGGAATGCCAGGACTCTGCAGTGTGATCTCTGAGTGTTAATCTGAACAACACAGGTGAGTTTGTGGGAGGTGTGGCTTCTTTACGCTTCTTTTTCTCTCTCCAGATAATAGTACAGAATTTTGGGACACCGATATAAAGTGGTTTTCTCTGCTGGAAAGTAGTGGCTGGCTTGACATAATCAGGTATGACAGGTCATTCTTTCACTTGTGAATTTTTAAATTCTCTCATTGGAAGCAGTAGAGCAAATTGACAAATCACTTGACTGTGTTATATCCCATAGTTAAATATTCTTAGATCACATTCTCTGTTCAGGGCCCAGCTGGATTGTATGAGGAGGCTTTAAAACGTTCATAGAAAATGAAATTGAAAGATAATGGGGGCTTGTAATCATTGAGATGAAGCAAAGTGTATAGTTTCTTAAATGTAAAACTGACAATTGGCTCTGTAAGCCTTTGCTCAATTCACAATTAAAAAGTTGATAGAAAGAATGGGATTTTTTTTTCCCCATGAACTTTTGGAAGCCACCTCATACATTTGTTAGCTATTATTTCTGTTCACATTTGATAGTAATTTGCAGACAAGTATTTCCTACAAAGAAATCTGTTCTGTAGTCTAGGCATGGAAAGGCGATTAAAAGGGAGACATGGCAGACCAGAGTTATAACCGAGGCTGCAGTGCTTCGGGCTGGGGGTAAAAGGGACCTGCCACTTATTAAGAGATTTTTTTTTAAAACAATCATGATTAATGTCAAGTAATCATTTTTGGTTTGGGAGTTAGGTGGAGATGCCCAGAGAACAGAATTAAATTCCCTTGTCCACTTCCTATTTTTGAATGCCTCTTGTCTTACAGTTAGAGGACGGAGCAAGAGGAAGGATGGCCAAGGTGAAGGAGGAGAGGGATTCCTCCTTCCTGACCCTGCACCCACCCACCCCCAGCATGGCACCCTCTCACAGGTCTGCAGAGGGTACCATACAAAGGCGCCTCAGCCATCCATCCCTCAGTAATAGGTGGGGAAGGGCCTGCTACATGTTTGCCCATGGTTGCAGTGGGTAATCACAAACTGTGACAAATGCTATCAAGGAAAAAAAAAAAATCCCTTCTCTGTGGGTGGCCATCATTCACCAGGTGAGGAACGGGAAGCAGTGGAGAACAGTGTTCCTGAAGACCCTGGTATCTATCAAACCTGTGAAGTGAAAACAGTTCTCTAGAGAGAAAGGGGGACTTCTGATCACAGTAGATCTTTCCAGACACACTTTGATTCATAAAGCTGATCGCCTAGAGTCAGCCCGTACAGACAGGCACCACATTCTACAAGTGAGGGTGTTGATGAGTCTTCCTAGAACTCACTAACAGACACCAGTATCAATTTTCAGTACAAATTTCTACTTTGGAAATTGCCTGCAAGCATTTTTACATCAGTTTTGGGTTCGGGGTTCCCTCCTGAAAACGTTAAGGATTTTTTTTTTTTAATACGCAAATGTATGCCTTCCAGTATATAAATAGTGTAAATGGTCATTTGTTCCTTTTCTGGAGGATTTTTAGCCAGGAGTTAAGTGAGACAGAAATGTGAATATCCCACTCACACTAGCTCTAAACTTCTTATTGCTTATGGTGCCAAGCTCAAGAACAAATGCCTCTTTTCTCATCTCTCTCCTATTTAGACGCTGCCTCAAAAAAGCAATAGAGATGACAGAATGTCTGGAAGTACAACACATGAACGTTCTCCTTTTAGGTAACAGATTGAAAGCACAACGGATGGTTTCCAATTTTCCTTCACTTGAAATTTCGTTTTTGAACACATAGCTTCCTGTGACTGAGACTGTCCTGTAAAAGGAGTGAGCTAGTGTAGAAATCCTTTCCTTTCTTTTCTGCTCTGACCTCAGAATCCTTTACCTTGGGTTTAACTGTTGCAGTTTAAAAATACATTTTTCACTTGGAATTTAGCAGACCTATGGTCAACCCATGAAGGGATTGCAAAACTTAAATTCTTACAATGTGTTGGAGTTTGTTTTGTTTGATCTCTACTTGGGTAAAGTTAGAATCTTTTGATAATTCCCTTTCACACAGAGGGGCCTAGGAAATAGTTGCTCTGCCATGGTTGTGTTTTACACATTTGACACTTAATACAGTTCACCATGTATGAACTTGGTAGCCCGAGATTTCCTTTTCCTCAGTATTGTATGTGAGGACAGGGACAGAAAGGATTCAGAATGTGTAGAAGCAATTGTCCATCACCATGCAATTAAAAATAGTCACTGAAGTTGATTAGATCTTAGCTAACTGTTTAGAATATTTTAAGTTTCCATAATGGGTTAACAAGTTAGGCTGCTAACCATAAGGTCAGCAGTTCAAATCTACCAGCTGCTCCGTGGTAGAAAGATGAGATTTTCTGCTCCCATAAAGATTTACAGCCTCAGAAACCCACTCCACGGCACATAACAACCACCACCACCACCATTGCTTCACAAAAAGAGCCCTGAGGACGAAGTGGGCTATACGTTGGCTGCCAACTGCAAGGTCAACAGCTGAAATACAATAGCCACTCCTTGAGGGAAAGATGAGGCTTTCTGATCCTGTAAAGATGTACAAGGGTTCTGTGAGTCGGAACTGACTGGCAACACACCACCACCACTGGCATTGCTTCACACAGGAGTCCTGGGGTGGCCCTGTAGGAGAAACACTGGACTGCCAACTGCAAGGTCAGTGGTTCAAACCTACCAGCTGTCTCTCAGAAACCCTATCTATACAGGGTTGTTATGTGTCAAAATGGTCTCAACAGCACTTAACAACAGTACAACATTGCTTCACCCTACAGATTTAATAGTTCCATGTTTTTATACACACAAGCTCTTATAATTTCTCTGGCGCTCACCATAACTGTTGGGATTTAGGTTCTAAGGGCAGACTGAAAAATGTATCTGCTAGTGATAGCTGTCCCATCAGACACTGATCCAATGACATTGATTATAACCCATTTATTAAGTACCCGAAGTGTAACTCTCCATACTATGGCCTCCTTCTAGAAGTTTACAACCAAGTACAATAGTTGGCCTAAGCATGTTACTGAAGACAACTTAACAATGCAAGAACAGAATATTATTTTAGTCCTGAGTAACTGATGAAGGGGACAGAGATTGGGTACAAACTGTTGCCAGAAATGAAATCTGACTCTGGCTAATATAACCAAGACGTCCCTCAGTCCTAACTGGACTGCTGAGGTGTCTCCCTCTCCTGGAGTCTCCTTTCCTAGTTCCCTTTCCCGTCACCCACAGCTCTACCATTGACTTCCTTGAGGCGCAAAAAAGAACGTCCCCTTAAAACTGAAACTGGTAGCGTTAGAATAAGAAAAGAATGAAAAGGGTTTTATTTTTAAAACCTGTGAGTTCCCATATGTTACCCTTGCTTCCTGGAGGAGAAATAAAAGCACATGGATAAGATCGGACTTGTAATGCTACATGATGACAGGGGCCAAAAAGAGTTTGAACAGTGGAAGCAGCTCCCTACTCAGTCCGTCCCTTAGTTCCTCTAGCCCTGTTAATACTAGCACCATCATCATGAACGAGTTGCACTCATTTTTATAAAGAGGAAGTCATAGGGACGTAGAAACTGACTTTCTGGATCTTAAAACTCAAACAAATGCATGGATGCAGGTGTATGTTTTTGTTTGCTAGAAGTAGTGCCTGGTAGACGATATTGGTATGGAATCTTCCTCCTTTGGGGTTTGCAAACTGCTCCCCAGGGTTGGACCAGTGGAAGTAGACCATGGAGGACTCTTTCTTCCAGGGTAGGCAAGGAGAAGAAGGTACCTCTCTTCTCCTGAAACAAAAAAGGAATGCACCTTGGGGCTGATAAGGTGTTGCCATTTGGTAGAGTCCAAAAATATGAAACTTTCTCCACAGCAGAGCTAGTGGGGAACTTGGAGTTGAGTGCAGGACTCCGAGGTGGGCCTCGGAGCAGTGAGTTCAGTGATGGACCAGGAGGGATGGGTTGTAGACCTGGGTAACAGCGGGGCAGGTCTGACTTAGCCCTCAGTGTGCAGCACATCTGGATGCCCACATGCTGATGTGGATTTGCAGTGCTTCCTTTATTTATTCAGTTGTTGTTAAGTGCCGTCGATTCAGTTCCAGCTCATAGAGACCCTGTTGAAGGTTTCTGAGAAATGATTAGTGAGTTTGAACTGCCAACCTTGTAGTCAAGTGCTTATCCTAGCATGCCACACTAGGACTCCCACAACAAGTTACATTGCATTACATTAAGTGCCGTCGAGTCGGGTCTGACTCATAGCAACCTGTATAGGGTTTCCAAGGAACAGCTCGTGAGTTTGAACCACCACTTTGCGACCAACCTTGCGATCCAGTGCTTATCCTTCCATGACACGCCAGGACTAACAAAGGCATATTTAGTACTGGTGTGTGTTGGAACCTAGGAGGGGGCTTCAAAAAGTTCGTGGAAGAATGGAATAAAAAGATAATGGAATGTTTTGGCAAATTTTTTGAAGCCCCCTCATGTGAGAGATAGGCTTAAAGCAGTTTCTCTCCTGTTCTGGAGACATTACCACTTTTTCACTGGCCCTTGCCTTTTGGGGAATCAGCATTTGACTGTTACTGACAGACCTGGGGGTGGGGAACTGTCAACTGCCAGGGGGTGCTCTCTGAAGCTTCTTATCACTTGGCACCTTCCTTCTCCTTTGCTCTACTGCTGGCCTGCCCCAGAGGAGACTGCCTCCGACCTCTGCTGCCTCTTCTCCTCGCTGGTGCAAGTGATGATGGATCCCCACTGTCGAACCAGGTTTGGGTTCCAGAGCCTCATCCAAAAGGAGTGGATCATGGGCGGCCACTGCTTCCTGGATCGCTGCAACCACCTACGCCAGAGCGACAAAGAGGAGGTGAGCTTCCCCCGGGCCACTCAGAGGTAGGGCAACAGGATGGAGGTGGTACACACTGTGCAACATGCTGGTGGGGAAGACGGGGCTGGGGAATGGGGTCGAGATTGACACGTGTACCCGATTCTTATCTCCTGCACAGTCACTCAGACCAGTTGTGCACACCAAGAATGCACATACATTGTGTGGCCGGAGTGTTGTTGGTTTGTAAAACTTGAATAGAAATTGCCTCTGAAAGAGACTCCTATAATTTCTGCTAAATTAGTCTTTGCAAACCTCGGGATATTCAGGGAGCAAGTTTCCAATAGAAAATACATTACATAATGGCATGCAGTAAATTCCCACTACCCAGGAACCTTTTCAGATTCAAGCCTATGTTGCTCCCTCCATCTGAGGAGCCTATGGGGTGAAGTTGAGGAGGCTGTGCTCCCCACTTCCTGTGCCTTCTGGCTATGTGACTTCTCCAGGCCTGGAGTTGAAGGCCGTTTAGTTCAGTCAGAGACAAAAATGAGTTCCCTACATTGTGGGTGCTTATCTAGACTAGCACTGTTCCCACTTCTTTGGCTGCATTACTGGTGACTGTGGAAGAGAAATGAAGGCGAGGTAAGTGTTCTGTAATTAAATCACCTGTAGAGCTAACACTACGCTAGTAGCGTGCCTTGTGGTTTTCTCTCCTTCTGGATGGTGATCAGCACACCTGCCTTTTGTTGCGCAGAGCAGCTTGGCCCAGCATGCTGCGGAGGTGTCTTGCCTCCAGACTAGGGCTTGCTTGGCGTGTGTCAGGGAGACGTAGACATCTCTCCCTCCAGGCCTGGTGGCTTCTCTCAGGCTGCCCCATCCAACTGAATGGGAGTCACCAGTTCAATCTAGGAATGGACTTCACCTCTCCAAGGTCCTAACTGGAAAGGTCACTGGAACACAAATAGCATGATGGGCCGCAAGAGCTAATGCTGTTTCTTTTTGGGTCTTGAGAGAAGGGGGACTGGCAGGCCACATGTCAGATGGAGAAAGATTCAGAGAGATCTGACCAGCTGCTCACTCACACTTTCTTTCTTTTTTTTTTTTCTTAAATGATTTATTGTGAGTTATGTGATAGTTTACATGGAAGAGCATTA